GGTTTTTCCAGTAGTCATGTGTGGATGTGCGAGCTAGACCATAAAGAAGGCCGAAGAATTGATGCCTTCAAACTGTGGTGCTGGAGAAGACTCTTGAGAGTCCCTTGGACTGCAAAGAGATCAAACCAGTCAATCCTACAGGAAACCAGTCCTGAATATTCATTGGAAGGACTGATGCTGAAGCCCCAATCCTTTGACCACCTGATGGGAAGGGCTGACTCATTAGAAAAGGCCCTGATGCTGGGAAAGATTGAAGGCAGGAGGAGAAGGGGATGACAGAGGATGAGATGGTTGGATGGCATCAGCGACTTGATGGACATGAGTTTGCGCAAGCTCCAGATTGGTGAAGGACAGGGAAGCCTGGCATGTTGCAGTTCATAGGGTCACAAAGAGTCGGAGACGACGGAGACGACTGGGTGAACAACAAGCAGAAAATGTAAACTACCATCTAGCAGCAGAAAGTAGGTCACTGATTGCTTGAGGACAGCAGGATTGATAAGGAGGGTGTTGGGCAGGAATCAGAGAATTTGAAGGGGTGTGAGGACACTTTGGAGGGATAGTGGGTATGTGCGCTATCTTGTGGGGATGGTTTCACCGATGTACATTATGTCAAACTTATCAAATGTATACTTTGAATATGTGCAAGTTATTCTATGTCAATTACAGCTCAATGAAGCTGTTTAAAAAAAAAAAAAAACAGTTGGACACTGATTTGCACTGTGGCTTCTGAGTCCCCAGGGTTTACTGTCTCACCTGGGGCTCCAGATCCTGGGGTGCAGTTCAGGCCGAGATGATGAGGGGACCTGTGGGCTCCAAGGGCACTGTGGTCTCCATCACGTGGGGACAAACCCAGCTTAGCAGGTCCTTTGCTCCAGTCTAACACAAGCATTTTCCTTGATTTAACATTGTCTTCAGATTTACCTTAAAGGCTGTACAATATGCAATCCAGTGAGTATACCACAAATTACTTAACCATTCCTCCAGTGGCTGGGCACTCAGGCCATTCCCTGTTTCCAAGTAGCTTAAATAAAACTGCTAGAAGAGCAATACTGCTTAACTGCTGTCTACAATCCGAGGTAGTAATTTAGCAACACAGTAAGCTCTTAAGATGCTCATACACTCTGATACTATTTCCATTCTAGGAACTTATTTTTATCTCAACATTGCTTAAAAACAAAGCAAAAAATGGGAAACAACTTCAACAGCAGGAGCGATTTAAATAAATGGAAGTCTAGTCACCCAATGAAGCATAAGACAGGAAAAAAAAAAATGTGAGCCAATAGTGACTGAAGTGTATTGGCTGATAGGTTAAATGAAAATAAGCTGGTTGTAAAATAGGACATAAAATGACTATGGTCATTTTTTCTTTTAAAAATAAAGCTCACATTGTATCACATTGTATCTGTTTGTGATGATGGTGGTTTAGTCACTAAGTCCTGTGCAGCTCTTGCGACCCCATGGACTGTAGCCTGCCAGGTTCCTCTGCCCATGGGATTCTCCAGGCAAGAATACTGGAGTGGGTGGCCATTTCCTTCTCCAGGGGATCTCCCCGACTCAGGTACAGTATGATGGGCCAGCTTCCCCAGACCTCATGTGATGCGACATTGACGACCACAGATGAGTCTTCCGACTCAGGTACAGTATGATGGGCCAGCTTCCCCAGACCTCATGTGATGCGACATTGACGACCACAGATGAGTCTTGAACTTCCATGGAGAAGTTGCTGAGCCCCATTAGTGTCCAGGGCCCCACAGAAGACCTGGATGAGGCCTGGGAGTACTCTCGGGGTGGAGGTCAGGCAAGGGAGTGATACATGGTGTGCCTCAGCTGCTGGCACCTTCTGTGGGGCTACAAGGGCCTTCTCCAGGTGAACATCATCGCCCCACCACAGGGAGAGATGGTCTGAGGTCTAGTTTATCCTGGTCCACCCAAACCTGCCCATTTCCCACCCGAGGGTCACTCCCTGCAACATCCCCCACCCCTCTCACCCTCCACTGGTGCTCCCTAAGATTTAGACGACAAGGGGCTTGGAGTGTGGACTACAGTCGAGTCAGCCAATTTCCTTGAGGCGTACTTTTCTCACTAAAATTTGCTGGTGACGCATGCACATGGCAGTACTGTTCTAAGACCAGAGAAGTGTGTTTCTGTTCACTGTGTGGGAAGCAGCGTTCATAAATCATGGCTATTATCATTAATAGGAGTCCTTGGCTTTCCTGTGCTGTGCTTAGTCACTCAGTCATGTCCGTCTCTTTGCGACCCCATAGACTGTAGCCCACCAGGCTCCTCTGTCCATGGGATTCTCCAGACAAGAAATCCTGGAGTTCATGGCCTCTCCTTTCTTCAGGGGATCTTCCCAACCCAAGAAGTGAACCAGAGTCTCCAGCATTGCAGATGGGTTCTTTACCAGGTGAGCTACCAGGGAAGCCCTGGCTGAAAAAAAAACTATTCCCCCAAGGGGCTCTACACAATGGCCCCTCAAATGAGAGAGTTTCCCACAGATATTTCTCTAGCAAAGACTTGAAAAGGGGGGCCTACTGGTGAATAGAAAGGCTTTTGTCCACTCAACAAGTGTTTACTGAGCAATGTGCCAGGCCGTCTTCTCAGGGCTGAATGGATAGGAACCATCAGGAGAGAGACTCTCTCTCTCCAAGACCAGACTCTCCCTAAGAGACAGCAGAGAGTCTGAGCAGGGCTCAGGTCCTTGGGCGGATGAGGCACTAACAAGCCTGGTCTGGAGGGAAGATTCTGAGTGGGTGGCACCCCTGGAATGTCCATGGGGAGGCATCTGTGAGGCCATCTGACATGCAAGTCTGGGGATCCGGAAGAGGTTCTGGCTGGAACTTTATGATAAAGGAGGAAGAATAAAGGTAGCAGGAGGAAGGAAAGAAAGGTGGTTCTAGAGTAACCTGGGGGCAGGTTACTATGCCTTCTTGAGCACCCAGGATGGCCCTCAGATGGCGCCCCTCATTATCCTGTTTCTCTTCATTGTCCCTGCCCTGACCTCAGGGAGTCTGTGTGCCCAAGATGCAAAGTGGAATCCCACCCCCAGGACCTGCCTCATTGGTCTCTTCATCCCTAGTCCAGCTGGTCCAGCCCTGACACTTGATTCATTCGCTTATTCACATAATCTTTTCACTTAGAAACGTTTTATTGTGTTTCACTCCTGTCGCTCTCAGCAGAGGATGCCCTGGCCCCCTCTTGGGGGTGCCAGATATATGAAGGGACATTTCGTCGTCACAGTGACTGGGCAGGGAACAGGGGTACTCAGGGTCCTGCCCAGAGAGAACTGCCCTCCCGGGATTCAGGAGCACTTGGCAGAGAAACACCCTCCCCAGCCACCTGCAGCTGGCACAGGAGGGCCCGGCTGGCAGGAGAGACAGTGCTCTGTAGCCCGGGACGCAGCTGGTACTTGCCAGCGTGGTTTGAGGATCGTGACTGCACCACGGACAAGGGAAGGACACTTGTGCTGCTCAGGAAGAGCAGAGAGGCTTCCTTGGGGCGGTGACTTTGGACCTGTGCCTGGAAGGATGTGGAGCATCCACAGCCATGGGATGGGCAGGAATCCCCAGCAGAGGGAAGCAGGTATGCAAAGGCAGAGGAGTATGGGGGGCTCATTTGCAGGCCAGGGAGTGCTGAGGGCAGCAGAGGAAGTGGAGGGGTCCCCAGTCAGGCCCTCCCCTCAAAGCCCAGAGGGGCTAGGAACGCCTGCCACTCTTGTCCACCCTGGCTATTGCACTCACTTACCAGGAGGCTCCACCTCCGGCTTGTCTTCCCAAAAGTGGGATGGGGAGGCGGGTTACCAGAGCTCAGGGCCCAGAGAACAGCCGGTGGAAGACTGAGTCCTCTCCCAGCCCCAGGAGGAGACCATCAGTCCCTGCCCGGATGCCCCTCAGCCAAACGACTAGCCATCAATCATCAAGGTCTGGCCACGCCTCTCCCCTCCAGACTACTTGCGTTTAGACTGGTTCAGTTTCCAGGTCTAAGGTCTGGGGCCTCCAGAACTGAGGTTCCACGGGCCTAAGTCAGTGGCCCGGGTGAGGGACCCTCGATCACTGGCGGTCACCGGTCAGAGCGCCGCCGAGACCAGAACTGGGGCAAGTGAGGGCGCAGGGGCTCACCTCCTGGTTCAGCTCACCGTCCGGCACGCAGTTGAGCGACAGGAGGCGGAGTTGCCGCAGCATGAAGAAGGCGCCGGTGCAGTTCCGCTCCTCCTGCCGGGGAGCAAGCACATGGGCTGCAGCGACGGCGCCCTGGCCCGGGTCCCCCGGCTCCCGAGCTCCAAGCCACCCGCTAGACGCCGGAGGGTGCAGCGGCCGCTGGGGACACCCGGGCAGGCTCCGTGTGCACTTTCATGCAGGTTCTTACACGGGAAAGGGTCTCCATAAATTAGCCGAAAGGGACTTATATTGTTTAAAGCAATCGTGTGTACATCAGAAAGGTACCGACGATGATACACCAACAGTTAATGTTGTCTCCTGAGTAGTGGGGTTGCAGATTTTTTTGTTTTTTACTTCGCTTCTCTAAGTTTTGTTAGGTTGCTATAATAAAATATTTTCCTAATTTTAGAAAAGCAGTTATCTGGGTGGATTATAAAATCATCAACAAAAACTAAAAAATAATTTATGCTTTTCAACTGTGGTGTTGGAGAAGACTCTTGAGAGTCCCTTGGACTGCAAGGAGATCCAACCAGTCCATCCTAAAGGAAATCAGTCCTGAATATTCAACTGGAAGGACTGATGCTGAAGCTGAAACTCCAATACTTTGGCCACCTGATGCAAAGAGCCGACTTATTTGAAAAGACCCTGATGCTGGGAAAGGTTGAAGATGGGAGAAGGAGATGACAGAGGATGAGATGGTTGGATGGCATCACTGACTCATGGACATGAGTTTGAGTAAACTCCAGGAGTTGGTGACGGACAGGGAGGCCTGGCAGGCTGCAGTCCATGGGGTCGCAAAGAGTCAGACACGACTGAGCAACTGAATTGAACTAAGGTGGATTATGGTCCCCCTTTGTTCTTTCTCTTTTAATATTTAGTCATTTTGTTAGCATGTATTGCTTTTCTAGTAAGGATTGATAATTTGTAGTAAGAAAAAGCCATAAGGAAAAACCCAATATTTTTTTTAAAAAGCTTCCACAGTCAAGTCTGTGAGTGGGTGGAAGCAAACACGGCCTCTGGGAAGGAGGTGAGAGAGAAGGGGAGTTCCTTGTCCTGCTCACTGGGGCAGGGAGCCAGGAGATGGATGGACGACTCACCCCGCCCTCCCTGAAAGGACACTGTCGGGGCCGACGGCGGTACCGGAACAGAAAGCACACAGTCTCTTTAATCCTGAAGTTGAGCGGGATGGTGGTGGAGTTCTAAAGAAGCAGGAGAAGAATCACGGTCATGTCCCTTTTACACAGGAGAGAACAAAGTCAGGGAGGAGAGATCACAGTTCCAAGCTGGAAAGGACTTGCCCAGGGTCTGCACTTCCCACCTAAGGGAGGCGGCCGCTCCAAACGGCCGCAGCAGAGACTGAAGGCATGCAGGACTTCTGGGAACCAGCGGAGGCCACCACTTCATGGCTGAACCACCTTGAGGGGCTGCCTCCTGTCTTTGCACCTCAATCTCCTCTTCTGTGCCAAAGGAGCTAGAATACTTGCCTCCCACACTTAACTGCCAGGAGAGAGGTAAGGGAGTGGGAAGGGGGACCCTGGAAGGCTCTGGTGAGGTGCTGGTGGGACCAGTCGGCTCCTGTCCATCCTTTGAAACAGCTCTGCTTACTCCCTCAAGTCCAGGGCCTGCGTGCAGAATGGACTCCCAGACCCCACATTCCAGCCTTGGGCAAATCCCGGAATTGGTCAGCTAGCCAGCTGTCAGGCTGGAGAGAGATTGCAGTCTCTGTTTCACCTTCTGAATTGAGAAACATTATAGTAATAGCAGCATCTACTGTTAATCAAGCACTTTGTGCCTGTGTGGGGCACTCGCTCCTGCCTACTAGCCTCACGGGCTGCTGTGAGGTAGACGGTACCCGCTCCCCGGGCTTGGGCCCTGACACTCACCAAGTCAGGTGGCGGCGGGGTGCTTTCCAGCAGGCCAAAGATGCGCTGACCTCGCCGCCCCTGATTGAAGAACTTCAGGGCCTGGATGACAATCTCGTCATAGCTCAGACTGCGCTGGGCCACGCAGGCCACAGCCGCCAAGCCTGCCACAAGCACCAGGGCCTTCCAAGTCCCTGCCATTGTCCCTTCTCAGATCCTCTGCCACTTGCAGCCCCTTTTAGGTGGTAAACACGCAGCCTTGCCCAAGGCCTGCTGGCGACATGCAGGGGCTGAGGCCTTCCTGAAAGGGGCCTGTCTCTTCCTTTGCTAGGCACCCGGTGTTAGCCAACATTCCAAAATACCAGTGACTAAGAGGCAACGGGGATTGGGCAATAGGCCTAGGAGTAAGGCCGCCCCGAGCTGGGGGCAGGAGACCGGTGTGATGCTGGGCACGTCCCTTCACTTTGGCCCACTGTCCGTCTCACCCCCCACCCCGTGCCACAGGGAGGCCACCCCTGGCTCTGGCACTCCAGGACCCCGTGCTGTCTCTTGCCTGGTTGGTGTGGTTTGGTTCCAAAGCAGCTGCCTGGGATCCATGAGTTCTCTGTGTGAGTGCGTCTCAGCTGAAAGCACAGACAGATGGTCCAGTCGAAGGCTGTACTCTGGCTGACACCTACCATGTTGCATGTATTTTTAAATATTGATTGTTGTTGTTTTAGTCACTCACTCATGTCCCAACTTTTTTGTGACCCCTTGGACTATAGCCCGCCAGGCTCCTCTGTCCATGGGATTGCCCAGTCAAGAATACTGGAGTGGGTTTCATTGCCTCCTCCAGGGGATCTTGCCCACCCAGGGATTGGATACACATCCCCTGCGTTGGCAGGCAGATTCTTTACTGCTGAGCCACCGGGGAAGCCCTAAAATACTGATTGTCAATCCTTAAAAATCTGGATCCTGACTTACTTCAAAAAAAATCATAAGATCTGACAAGTCATGGCTCACTAGTCCCTCTCATTGGGTTTGATAGCAGCAACCTCTCCAGGGAGAGCCTCGACGTCCACATCCTCAGGCCGTTCCCTGCAGGCAAAGCGGGGAGGCTGTCCCCAACAGGATCAGGGTAGAGACCCCTGGCTGTTGACACAGGCGGCCACAGGCAGCAGCTCACAAGGGGAACCGCAGGAGCCTCCGCCTCCTCCGAGGGCTCCCATTGTCCTCGGCTCCCTCTGTTACTGGGGTCAGCGGGTTGACTTGCCAGCCCGCCCATGGTTCTGGGTTCCTGTTCTGCAGGAGACTCAGAAACTGGGGAGGAGGAGAGCAGCTACCAGGTGTTCTCACTAAAGACTGCCGGGGGGAGACCAAGGCACACAGCAGTCCACCCTTCCTCCAGAAGCTAAGGGTGGAGCTGAGGACAGAGCCGGAAGTAGGGAGGGGGCAGAGCACAGAACAGTCCTTGGCAGACCCAACAGGTCCTCAAAGGCCCGAGTTTCATCATCAGATCCATGCAGCTGTGGTGTATAATGGTGGAAAATTAGAAACAATATAAATATGCTTCAAGAGCAATTGGGTTAGAACACTTGGGATATTTCTCCTCATGGAATACTGCTACTACTTGTTGGAATACATATCCAGTTATCAGTGGGATTGCATTCATCAGAGGTTCTTAGCTGGAGAATGAGGGTTCTGAGCTCATTCTGAGCTCAGCTGCAGCGATTGATCTTGCGTCCATCCCAGGAAGTCTGATAAGGAGAGACAGTAGTAGGTGCTCACTGTAGAATCCTAAGCTCTTCCTATCATGAAATGTCCTAATTTCTCCTCCAAATTAAAATGCAATGAGAATCTGTGTGGTAAAAAGGAAAGCGCATTTTTAATTTTGTTGATCTCAAGAAAGCTTTCCCCTAACCTTCACACTGGCATCCTATCTCACGTTCAAGTCCTCAGGAGGACTTCCTCCTCAGGCCTTCCTATGCTCCCAACTCTGCTCTCTTATTCAGATACAACTTTCTTCATAGCACTTGCTGTTGAGTAGCAACAGTTGTTTATTATTTCCCACTTTGAGGGTAAGCTCCTTGAAAGCTGATTGTTTACCCAGCACCAAGACAAGTATCTGGCATATAGTAGCTGCTCAGTAAACGTTGGCTGAAGGAATAAATGATTTTACCCTTAAAGGATTTTATGCATAGCTCAAAGACCAGTTCCTCATACCCCACACATTTCCACCCAGTGTGGCTCAGCTGGATGGCAGCAAGGTGCTGACACTCAGAACATTCGAAAGGGAATTTTGCTATAGCCAGGCCTCTTTTTTTCTGGATGTCTAGCTGCAGCACATATTCTGTTTCTGGTACACAAGTTGACAAGAAGCAAGGATTCTCAACTGGGGAGATTTTGCCCCTGGACCCCGAGGACAATTGTCAATATCTGGAGACAGTTTTGATTGTCACAGCTGGGGAGAAGGCGCAGCTAGCACCTACTGGATACTGCTAATCACCCCACAGGGCATAGGGCAGCCCCCACAAGGAAGAACGGTCCAGCCCCAACGTCAGTGCCGAGGTTGAGAAATGCTGAGAAAGAGCAACACGTCAGATGAACATACAGCAGCTGGACGGATCCATCTTAAGCACATGGTGCTTGGCACCAGAGGAAAGGAATAGAATGAGATATGTAACAACTCCCCCTGCCTGCTTCTCTCTAGCCATGTATATGTGTGGAAGATACATCAGAATGCATCCTTCAAACTGATAACATATTTTATAACACCTCCAAGGCACAGGTAAAAACGAATGATGGTTGAGAGGGCAGGAAATGGGATGGGAGGGGAAAAAGGCAGAGAGGGGGCTTGCACAGACCAATACAGCCCCCACTGTAAGGTTCAGTTCCTTGTATAGAAAAGTGTACACTGGTCAGTATCCATGACAGCATCACTAGCAAGGTGCTTGGAAGGATGTTTGCTAAAATGTTAGTAATGATTACCACTGTGTTTCTCTCTGTATGGAACTGGCAAAGGATTCTGAGTTGTGTTTTTTTTTCAACTTTATTATTTGAAAAAATTTTTTACAATAAACATCTTTGTTTTACAAAAACAACAAAAATATATTTTTTAAATTATTTTAATTGAGGCTAATTACATTACAATATTGTAGTGGGAAAACAACAAAAATATTTTTAAAATACTCATATGGAGTCTATGTTTTATTCCATATCTGCAACTGTTACTTTTTAAACATGAATGGAGCTCTTTTTACTGAGATGACATTCACATATCATACAATTTGCCCTTTCAGAGTGTACAACTCATAACATTTTCATCTTCCTAAAAATAAACCATGTGCCAAGTAGCAGTCACTCCCTATTTTCCCTTCCCCTTTGCCCCTGGCAGCCAATAATCTTTCTGTCTTTATGGGTTTCCTTTACTGGACATTTCATATAATTGAAATCATAAAATATGTGGTCTTTTGTGTCTGGCTTTGTTCACTTAGCATCATAGTTCCAAGGTTCATCCATGTTGTAAATTAATTCCTTTTTATGACTGAATAAGATTTCACCATATGGATAACCCACATTTGTTGATCCATTCATCAGTTGAAAGACATTTGGGTTGTTTCCACATTTTTGCTTTTATGAATCATGCTACTATGAATATTCACATACTAGTTTTTTATGTGGACATATGTTTTCAGTTATCTTGGGCCTATACTTAGGAATGGAATTTCTGGGTCATATGGTAACTCTGTGTTTAATTTTGTGAGGATTTATCAAAGTGTTTTCCAAAGAGCCTGTACTGTTTTACATTCTCACCAGCAGTCTGTGGTATTCCACATCTTGCCAACAATTATTATTGTCTCTCTTCTTATAGCCATCCTAGTGGGTGTGAAGTGATACTTCATTGTGGTTTTGATTTGTATTTCCCTAAGAGCTAATGATGTTGAGTATCTCTTCATGTCTGTTTGTATATCTTCTTTGGAGAAATGTCTCTGCAAATCCTTTGTACAATTTTTAACTGGGTTATTTGTCCTTATATTGTTGAGTTGTTCACATAATGTTTTTAAAATTAAAATGTTTTAGATTTCCATTGGAGGGAAAAGAAAACCTCTAGTAAAACCAAGGCTTTAGATGTGTAGAATACTTTTTCAGGGACTTTGCAGACCCCCATCACACGGCTCCCCATCAGTCTGAGAAGCTACAGTTGCCCCAGCCTTGATCAGTGAGGCTGATGAGGTCTGGAGAAGTTGGGTAAACATGCCCAAGTGACACGCTTGAGTCCGGTGTTGAATGACAGGAAAGTGGGAAGTTTTACCTTGAGGAGAGGGCTGACAGGGTGACTTTGATTCCCTGCTCTGTCTCTGAAAGGCTGCCATAAACAAGAGGGCCAGACTGTTCTTGTGGACTCAGAGGACGGAGACAGAACCAAAGGTTGGATTCCAGGAGGAGACATGTCAACAAGAAAGGTCTCAAATCCAAGAAAGTTCCCCTTGACAAAAGCTGGAATGCAGCCTGGTGGAGGAGGCCTGGGGGACGTTGAACTGAGTCTGGAAGACCACTCGGCAGGGAAACTGTGAGAGACTCGAAGGGCCATTTGATGCCTGGCTTCTCCAGCATCCATTTCCCCTGCCCCTTCTCCCTACCCGTCAGGCCCAGTTCCCCTTAGAGGAGCTGCGTGGTCCTGGGAGAGGAAAACTCAGCTTGGTCTACATTGAGAGAACCTGTCATCTCTCCACCACTATCCGTGCTTGACTCAGGCTGTGCATGTGATTAAGCTGCTCCACTTAGAATACATCTCGGAACTTCCAGTGGGAATACTAAGCACTTTCCCTCCTCTTGGAAATAAACAAGGAAGAGTGACTAGCTGTGACAAAGAAAACATCTTGGGATGTGAGGTAGGCCCCTAAGGATGAGGTCAGCACCACAGAAGACAGAGAGGAAAGAGAGAAAAACAGCTCCTTATGACATGACTGAGCTGCTGCGTCACAGCTCGCCTGAAGGTAGAGGGCCTCTGGATGTTACCGCTTAAGCTACTTTGAATGGGCTTTTATGTTACTTGCAACATGTTGTTGCAACAAATTTAGGGTTCAAACATCCAATAGAGAGGCATAGGGACAGACTACGTAGCCTTTATAATCCCATCAAATCCTAAGACTCTGACATGTCCAGAGGTGTGAGGTTGAATGGCATAGTCAGGGCTGGGAGCTCAGGTTGGGGGCTTTTAAGTGGAAAAATAATTGGGATTTTTTTTTTTGACAGGTGGACTTTACAGAATATGAGTACAGAGTCACACTCTGTAATAGCCACATAAAAATCCTTCAATAATTTGTGCTCAATAGCTGACCTAGAGCAATGCAGAATACAGCTGTCAGAGCCCTGCTTCAGCTTCAGGATTCCATCGACCTGGGTTCAACTCCCGCTGCTCTCACGTCTCCACTGGTTCTTGGCCAGTCTCTCTGGGATTCAGTGTTGTTGTCAATTGGTCAGTTGTGTCCAACTCTTTTGCGACCCCATGGACTGTAACCCTCCAGGCTCCTCTGTCCATGGGATTTCCCAGGAGAGCATACTGGAGTGGGTTGCCATGTCTTTCTCCAGGGGATCTTCCTGTGCCAGGGATGGAACCCGCTTCTCCTGCACTGGCAGGCGGGGTCTTTACCACTGCTGGTATCACTGTCTCATCCTTGCAAGAGAGGTAACAACTCACCTTGTAAGCGTGGTGAGAGGACTAAGGCTAATGTGAGTGGAGGCAGCTCAAGGGTGGTGGTTTG